CCGTTCAAACGGTTTTGACCGTTTTCCAATTTTTTTATTTTTTTTGTCAGAACGGGCCGACCGTTCGGGTCAAACGGTCGAACCGTTCATTTTCAAAAACCATGGTTTGATGTTGAATGGAGGATTGTCTAGGAAGGCCAAGTGGCCAATCTAGAGGGTTGCCCACTTGGTGGACAACTTATTGTCCTTCCATGTGGTAGATGTTGGAAATATAGTTACAGAAAATTGGAGGAAAAGTTTTGAGGCATATCTATGTTTGCCCCCACTTAGTTGAATGAGTTTGTTGTTAGATTGTTGATAAATTTGTTCTAAAGATACGATAGAGCTTTGGGCAAAAAACTTGAACCAACAAAATTAAAGAATCTCCAAAGAAACCTTTTGCGAAATAGTAATAGTTTGGAATTTGGATTGAAAAAAACAAGTGTTTTTATGCAATGAATTTGAGTGGAAACTGTGAAAACCGGGTTGACTTAATTACTTGTATAAATTCTGGAGAATCATGACAAAGAGGAGTGTGTCCATTTGAAGAGGCTCTTTGTACAACCACAAATTCAAATTTTGTGACTATTCACAATTATTTAACAGTTAATGGCTGTCAACATTTAAATGAAGTCTCTTGATTACCAAGTAATGAGCGTTGGGTTTTAACTTAAAATATCAACAGTCACAATTTAGCCTCCCAAAATGTTTGGACGCACCATTACATATGGTTCAATTCAAGTGCGCTTTTCGAAATTTCCAATTGTACTTTATGATTTGGAAATTGCATTTTTTTCCTGCACACACACACATATATATATATATATATATATTTAAGAGTTTAAGACAATTCTAGTAATTTTTCAATGTAAGACAAGACTTAAAAGAAGGAAAACAAGACAAAAGCAAGAGTTTTGATGATAATTTTAAAACCATTTTCCAAAGTGCATATGTATAAGTGTGGTTTACTATGCAATTAATCAATCAAAAACCCATTGGATTTAATCTCCAATGAGATTAAAGTCCAACAGTAGTATGACAAGCAAGGTTTAAAATTTTGTTATGTATCGGTCGATACGTATCGGTTTTTCAACTTACCATCACGAGAGATGGTCCTAAATCAAAGGTACCGTCTCTTTTCGTCGTGCCAATACAGTATCGATTTCGTATCAGGCTGGTATCAGACCGTTTCGATATGTTTCGACCGATACGCGACGAATTCACTGTTACAAATAGAATAGCCTTCGAAAGAGGGCTTCCAGAACTCATTTCAGAAGCCTTCTTTCTTCCCCAAACCCTCCAGGAACTTTCTTTACATTCCTAGAGACTCAAATCTAGAAAAAAAAAAACCATTAAAACACCTACAAAATTGAAATATTCAACAAGTTTTTCAAGGTTGTTTAAAAAGTAGCAAATATAGGATGTTTTTTCAAATTTTTTTTACATTTTCAGCCATTGTTTTGGGTTTTCTTTTAGTTTGAATGCTCAAAAACATCTTTATGTATGTTGGTCTGCTATTCTTGTGTAAAAAATCCCACTTATTTTGTTGCTATATGTAAATCTTTGTGAATATTTGAAGAAATTCCAGAATAATAAAAAATATGGAAAAAAAATTAATTTTTTAGGTTTTAATATTTTGATCTACCTCTAGAAATTGATTATGTTGTAGATCTATAGATGATCTACCATGTCCATAGATCAATTGAATTTTTTTCTAAATAATTGATTTTTTATTTTTTTATTTTTGGAATAAATAAAATATATATAATTTCTTTAATTTTATGTGATCTAACCATATAGACTGAGTATGTTGTAGATCTACGGATGATCTACCATGTCCATAGATCAATTTTTTTTCTAAATAATTGATTTTTTTTATTTTTGGAATAATATATATATATATATATATATATATATAATTTCTTTAATTTTATATGATTTAACCCTATAGGCTGAGTATGTTGTATATCTATGAATGATCTACCATGCCCATAGATCAATTGAATTTTTTTTATAAATAATTGATTTTTTATATATTTTTTAATTTTCAGAATAAAAAAAATATTTATAATTTCTTTAGTTTTATGTATATGTAATTTAACCCTATAGGCTGAGTATGTTGTAGATCTATGGATGATCTACCATGTCTATAGATCAAATTCATTCAATTTTTCTATTACATATTTACTTTTCTTAATTTTAATTTAAATTTTAGAATAAAACATAAAAAATAATTATTTAAATCAAAATAAATAATTATTTAGTTTTTAGAAAATTAGAATGAAACATGCAAAATAATTAATTGATCTATTATGTCCATAAATCCATTCAATTTTTATGTTACATATTTACTTTTCCTAATTTTAATTTAATTTTTAGAATAAAACAAGCAAAAAAATTATTTGAATAAAAATAAATAACTATTCAGTTTTTAGAAAATTTGAATGAAACATGCAAAATAATTACTTGATATATTATGTCCATAAATTCATTCAATTTTGTTACATGTTTACTTTTCTTAATTATAATTTAATATTTAGAATAAAACATCCAAAATAATTATTTGAATAAAAATAAATAGTTATTCATTTTTTAGAAAATTAGAATGAAACATGCAAAATAATTACTTGATCTATTATGTCCATAAATTTATTCAATTTTTCTGTTACATATTTACTTTTCTTAATTTTAATTTAATATTTAGAATAAAACATCCAAAATAATTATTTGAATAAAAATAAATAATTATTCAATTTTTATAAAATTAGAATGAAGCATGCAAAATAATTACTTGATCTATTATTTCCATAAATCCATTCAATTTTTCTATTATATATTTACTTTTCTTAATTTTAATTTAATTTTTAGAATAAAACATCCAAAATAATTATTTGAATAAAAATAAATAATTGTTCATTTTTTAGAAAATTAGAATGCAAAATGCAAAATAACTACTTGATCTATTATGTCCATAAATCCATTCAATTTTTCTATTACATATTTAATTTTCTTAATTTTAATTTAATTTTTAGAATAAAACAAGCAAACACATTGGAACTGAATTGAATGCTTTATTGAATAGTATGTTTTTGTTCCCGTCTATTGATTATAATATGTTTTTTCACAAAATCTACTAAAACATGTTATTTTTATGCATAAATAGCTCATTTATGTCTTATATTTAGTGATATTGATGTTTATTTATGATTTATTTGAGTATTTATAGCATTTCCATGCGTATCTTAATTTGTTGTCCATATCCATGCATATCTAAGGTGTATCCCGATACGTCTCTTAAATTTGCCTTTCCGATATGCATAGCGTTTCTGATACTTTAAACCTTGATGTCAGGTGAAAAGATTAGGAGAAATCAGCTACTCCAGGAAGCCAAAAAGTGTAAAATTTCGGCCTTCATCCTTTGATGCATTGTTGTAGTCCCATCTTATGTCATTTCATCCAATTCAAGGTGAAGCCACATAAATACATCAAGGTCCTTCCTTCCAAGTTTTATAGGGCCAAACCAATGAGTAACTGGTTTTTGAGAATGGCTGGTAATTGGTTTTCAACCCATCGTTAATCCGATTGATTTAACCATTCAAATTGTCAATCGACCAAGATTTCGGGTCTAGTTTTAGTAAAAACCAAAGAATAATAAAAAACCGTTGACTTGGTAAAATACTATCCAACCCGAACATTTGGACTGTTGACCCGTTCAACCAGGTGACTAGATCATGGGTTGTACACTAAATGTGTATGCAAACTTCGGAGACCATAACTTTGCACTCCAATGTCCAATTAAGGTGATTGTTTTTTTTTATTTTGGGTAACTTTTTGAAACTTATGTGTCCCAAGGTGCCATGCTTGTCTTTCTATTTTTGCAAAAAAAAGACCCTCTTTTTTACCTCAAATCACAATTTTAATACTTTTTACAAATAAAAATTAAAAAACATAAATTAAATATAAAATAATACATATGTTACATGTATAACATAATTATACATTATTTATTAATAATATATATATATATATATATATACACATACATACACACACACACATACACACACACACTATTGTTGATTGTTCGACCTAGAAAGTCAGACCGATGATCCAATGGAAGGCAAAAACGGTTTGACCTCCGAAACAATTTTTAAAACATTGGAAGACAAAGTGACTCAAGCCAAATTTTTTTGGCAAGTGGCTCGGGCCGGATTTTGTGCATTTTTTTCATCTTTAGAAGAGAAAATAATGCCGACCAAACTTACAAGAATGCAATTTTGGTCTTGTAGTATTTCAACAAGAACACGTTGATCACATTTTGTGCTTTAGGCTTAGTTTGGAAGGAGTACAAATACAAATATATACAGTGCAAATCCTTGTATTTTATATTATTTTATATATACTTGTACTGTACATATTAATTATTATTTTAGGCTCAGTTTTGAAAGGTACAAATATGTACAAAATACAAGACTTTGCACTTACATATTTGTATTCGTATTCCTTCCAAACTGAGCCAAAGTTTCACACTCTACATATTTGTACTTATACCCTTAGAAGGAACACAAATACAAATGCGTACAGTACAAACACAAATAATACAAAATATAAGGTTTTGCACTTTACATATTTTTATTTTTACTTCTTCCAAACTGAGCCTTAAGGTCAAAAACGAGTACCAAAGTCTCCTTCCCTGCTTCCCCGGAAAAACATTTCAACAGCAGTCAGTTGACAAAGTGACAAAAAGATTATTATAGACTAGAGACTTGGAATTATGGGAACCGTCATCCTAATACAAGTGATCCCTGCCACGTAATAACAGATACACGGAATCACCAACTGCAGGTAATGGTTGGTTAATAACAAAGGTATAGTTTATTGAATTCAATCAGGCGATCTTGTATTAGAATTGCTCGGTCCTCTCGCTTGCAGTTGGAATTGCAATGCCCAAGCCGAACGTATGGATGGGTCAGCATTCCCTTAGACCACATGTGGAGATTATACTGTGTAAATAGCGCTGATTCGTTTAAATACAAAGTACTTATTTATCATTACTGTATTTCTATACACTGACCAAAGACCTACTAACCGAGAGACAGGACTCGGGAAAAAAAAAAGAAAATAAAAAACATGAGAATAAGTGATCATATACAATTTACAGATCCAATGGAAAACAAGACAATTGATCCAAGCACCTATATTTGAAGATTAAAGTCGATGCTGTACAAAAAGGGGTAATAGACCCTCAAAAATCAGCCAGAACAAAAAACAAATAAAAACCCCAGAGTTTACTTTTCCCCCTTCAAAAAAGCAAGCCTCACAACCAGCTCCCTTTCATTCAATGCATGCACAATCTGCATCATTCATCTTTTAATCTCCAAAATCCATTGAAGCCCTCACAATCAAGGTCTAGAAATGGGAGAAGGTAATATGGCGGAAACAAGCCAGGTTTTTCATATTGTGTCAATCCCCTTCCCTCTACATTTGACAAGTCAAAAAGAACCCAGAAAAACGCAAGACATTTGGAATAGACACAATTCTCCCCTAAAAATGACATGACCAATATAAAGCCCAATCCATAACTCCCATAGATCACCACCAAACAGAGAAACCCCTTTCCTCCATAGTCCTTTCCGCTGAAAAAAATCTCTTCACCTTGCAGATATTTGCTTTTTATGCATTAACAGTATCATTGAATATCATTTCCTGCATCATAACAGAAAGACAGCCTTTTGATACTAGAACAAGCATAGGTAATTGATGAGGCAGATCCTGTGTAACCATGTCAATAACAATATTAATTTGTTATCCTATTGCCCACATAAAATGACATACAAGACAAACCTGATCACACACGGGGCAAGTATCACTTCTTTCCATCCATTCAAGAATGCATGCAAGGTGAAAATGGTGGTCGCATTTTGTGATTATTTTTGGATTCTCTGCACCATATTCTGCATGAAGCAAATATGAAAAAGATTTATTGACATAAATGGTAGAATGAAAACTGCAATTAATGGTTCTTGCAGCTATAGTAGTTAACACAGTAAGTGAATTCATGCAAGTCTTTTGCACTACTAATTATACTGAAATCAGAAAAACATCATACCTTCAAGACATATGGGGCAAGCATCTTCCTCTTCTGTTGCTGAAACAATGGGTTCACTCAATTTTGAAGGTTCAACATCAGATTCCTTTGGTGAAGAAAGCACAGACTTGGTTTCACCTTTGCAATCTGATTCCTTTACACTTTCACATGCAGCCAAGGTTTCAACACCACAGCCACTTAAGGTTTCTTCGACAGCCTCAGTATTTGTTGTCTGCACAGAAGAGTTGTGCTTGAAGGCACTTCCTTCCTGAGTAGATGGTAGAGTTTGTGGACGTCCCAAATCCACATCATATGGCAGAGGTGGAGGAGGTGCTCGATAAGTGTCAGGGATTGATGTTTCTAGATTTGCATTAACTAAGAGTCCGGTAGAAAGTGCAGATGCTGCACCATGATGAGCTGTTAAGGATTCACGTTCTTCCAAAGCTTCTGGGCACTGCAGAAAGACAGAATCTCATTAACTAGCTTTAACTTAATACTGCAAGCAAATACACTTCCAATAAGACAACTATTATCAAAAGGCTACATGAAAGTGCCAGTTGCCAAAACAATACACACTACAGGCCTGTAGGTATACCAGACACACTGGAGTACACTTGACACATGAACTTGAATTTCATATTTCAGTATGTGAAAAGAAGTATTAGCATCTCCATATACCAGACTCACTGAAGTACTGCAACTTAATAGTTTTCCCATGGCAAATAAGCTATCAATACATTATAAGACTATTTCAGCAAAAAATTGAGAGTTAGAAAAATTATGCTGTCCTAGGTGCAAATAAGTACACATCTGGATAAGGAATGGGAGAGGTAGGCTTAGTATGGCTAACTAAACTATTTAAGAAGATAATGAAAACAAAGAAAATGCTGGATGAATGAAGAAAGAGCACTATGGTGCCTATATTTAAAAACAAGGGGAATATACAAAGCTGTAATAATTATCGTGGAATTAGATCCAAGGCTCCAGGTCCAAATGGCTTTACAATGGGTTTTTATCAAGACTGTTGGGAGGTGTTGAAAGAGGATTTAGTTGAAGTCTTTAAGGAATTTGCAGACAATCACATTATAAGCCCTGGAATTAATGCCACCTTTTTGGCCTTGGTACCTAAGAAGAATGATGCCAACCACCC